GCATTACTTTCCGGACAAACCCTGTATAACGTTGTCGTGCAATATACTTCATGGAGCAAATGTTAATGTTGCAAATGTAATAAGTAATTGAAAAATTTTGTGTCTCAAATATTTTTTTGTTAAATTTTAAATTTCATATCTTAATTCGAGTACAGTTGTGATGCAATTTGGTATACGCATTATAAGTGGAGTGGATTAATCACAATTCTCAAATAATGCTAATAAAACAACATAATTACATATGCTAGCTTAAAACTCTACTATTTTTTCATTCTTTTAAAATTAATTTTTTTCTAATGTATTGGTTAATTAAAATTTATTAGGTTGGGGAATAAATTCGTAGCGTTTTTATATTTTCTTATGTTTTACAACGATTTTTTTGCTGTTTGACAAAATGTATNCATGTATAAAACAAAATGTATAATATTCATTCGATAGAGCTCTTTCTGTTCTACAAAACGGTGCTAATCGTCTTTTTAAGTAATTTAATTTTTTATTATCTTTGAGACTTAGAAATGGAATATCCAGGATGTAAAAAACATTTTCGACACCTGTTCTTCTTCGCTTTTCATCGAGGCCAAAAAGCTGCTGAAGCAGCCCGGGACATTTGCAACGTATATGGAGAAGGTGTTATAGGCGAGTCTACAGCACGGAAATGGTTTGCAAAGTTCAAAAATGGCGATTTTGACGTCGACGACACGCCCCGCAGCGGAAGACCTTCTGAATTCGACGAAGAGCGTCTCAAAGCACTTTTGAAGGAGGACGGTCACCAAACAAGTCGTGAATTGGCCGAAAAAATGAACTGCGATCATAAAACGATACTCAATCATCTTCATTCAATGGGATTTGCCGAAAAATTGGGAGCCTGGGTGCCTCACGAGCTTAACGAAAACAACAAAGAAATTCGCCTTCAAATTGCTTCTCAACATCTCGCCCGCCATCGAGCAACACGCGGTCATAAACAGCGCTTTTTGTACCAAATCGTCACGGGAGATGAGAAATGGTGCCTATACATAAATATGAAGCATAGAAAAACGTGGGTGGCTCCAGGAAATACGCCAAAGCCGAGAGTCAAGCCTGACCATCCAAAGAAGACCATGATCTGCGTTTGGTGGGACTGGGAGGGCATG